AAAAAAAAAAAATCCAAAACTGCAGCTTTAGGCTGGCCTTGAGCTCACTGTGTAGCCCAAGCTGGCCTCAAATTCATAGCAGTCCTCCTACCCCAGCCTCCCAAGTGCTGGGATTACAGGTGTGCACCACCATGCATAGCCCAGGACTTCATGGTCTAAGATCACTATTTTATTAATTCTTTCTAGAATGATATGCATAAGGAAGTTAATTCATTAGGAGTAGCCAGTGCCTTATAGTATGGCTTAATTCTTGAGGAAACTTGGTTGAGAAAGACTAAAAGTGCTAAAATTTGAAAGTGTCAGGTTTTGTTCCTCATTGTATAGTTCAGGCTAGTCTTGAACTCACTGTGTGTTCAGGTTGGCCTCAAACTCTCAATGATCCTTTTGCCTCAGCCTCCCAAGTGTTGGGATTACAGCTGTTCTGGAAATAATTACTTGTTGGTTTGTAAAAATGATCCAGATGTGATATGAAGACATACGCATTTACCAAGATAATTACAGTCACTATGTATCACAAACATATGTTAAAAATAAATAAGCCAGGGCTGGTGAGATGGCTCAGTGGTCTAAAGCACCTTAGAACAAGCTAAGCTAAGCAAAACACAGGGACCACAGTTCAATACCCCAGCACCACATGCCAGCCAGCCCCGCCCCCTGGTGGGCTGAACTGGCCACACACACACAAAATAAATAAATAAATAATAAATAAATAAATAAATAAGCCAGGCATAATGCATACCTGCAACCCCTGTACTCAGGGGCTGACACAGGAGGATTGCTGTTATTTTTAGTTTAAGGCTGGCCCAAATTATGTAGCAAGACTTTGTCTCAAAAAGATAGACAGGGGCTGGCCTGATAGCTCAGTGGACTGAAGTGCCTGCTTAGGCAGAGCACAGTGGCTGGGATTCAATCACTGGTGTGTCGTGCCAGCCCTGCCCACGGGATGCACTGAGAAGGCAATTGAGGCTGGGCGTGGTGGTGCGCACCTATAATTCCAGCACTTGGGAGGCTGAAAACAGGAGAATCACCACGAGTCCAATCTAGTAGTGAGACCCAATAGACGCTGTCCTACATACAGAAAAACAAACAAACAAGAAAAAAAAAAAGAAAAAAATTGATAGACAGGAGATAGGAAGCTAGAAGTAAAATCCTTTTTCAGAGGGAAAATAGCAGATCTTGGTTGCTCTTTATATAGCAATAACATTCTAATTATTGGGACTATAGGAAGAAATAAAAGGGCTTTTTAGGGGAGGGGTCTTTCAGTCAGGGTTTTACTATGCAGTTCAGGCTAGCTTTGAGCTCACTTTGTAGCCCAGGCTAGTCTTGAACTTGCAACAATCCTCTTGCCTCAGTCTCCCCAGTGCTGGGATTACAGGTGTGTACCACCACGCCCAGCTAAACGGATACAAATTTATGTTCTCATACTCTATATTCTAGAGAGTGAAGTCAGAGGTTGTGTGGGGTGAGCCACAAGTAGAATAGTAGGACAAATTATCGAGGGTCTTACACTTTGACTTTTACTGTGTATTCAGTGGGAAACTAGAGGATTTTGAGCAGAGGAGTGATGTGGTCTGATTTGTTTTAGTTTTAAAAAAATCACCAGAGTGTTGTGTTGAGACTGTTGTGTGTTTCCTCTGACAAGAGGGTCAGTCAAGAAATACTTACAGTCATTCAGGGATACGAATTGGCTGAAACTGGAATGGATGCAAATGAGGTAGTGGGGTCTAAATATATTTTGAGGGGGGAAATAGAGGAAGAGGAATTGCCAGTTCATAGATGTGAGTTGTGAGAGCTATCAGATGATCTCCCAGGGTTTTGGTTTAGGTAACTATAAGAATAATACTGTCATTTACTGAGATAGGGAAAATATGAGTGGTGCTAATGGAGGGGGCAGCTAAGTTCATTTTGGGGCATGTTAAATTTGGTAGGCCTACTGACTGACAATCAAAAGTAGATATCTAGTATATAGCTGGATCTGGGGAGGGAGATTTGGCTGTTGATGTAAAATGGAGCACTGTCAATGTATATGTAGTATCTACAGCCATGATTGTAGAAAAAACTGCTGAAAGTGTGAGTGACTGTCTATGGGGAAATCAAGAGGTCTGAATCCTGATCTTTGAATTGATTAAGAACTGGCAAAGACAGTGGTAAGGAATGGCCCATGAAGCAGAAAGAAAATAAGCAATGTGGTGCCCTGGAAGCTAAGTGAAGAAAATATTTGAAAGTTCAGCTAGGTTAAATGTGCTGATAAGTCAAATATCATGGGGACCAAGAATTGGCCCTCAGGGGGCTGGGGAGATAGCTCGGCTGTCTGAGTGCCTGCCTGGCAAGCAAAAGGATCCAGGTTTGTTCCCCAGTACCACATACCTTGCCATTCCCAGACCCCTGGGCATGCCATGCCAGCCACCGAAACTGGGTGTGATAGTGCATGCCTTTAATCCCAGTGCTGGGGAGGCAGAGACAGGAGGCTCACTCACTAGAGTCCGAGCTGCGTAGAGAGACCCTGTACCGAATAAAGAAATAAATATGATTAAAAACAATTAAAAAAAGAATTTGGCCACTCAGGTTTGAGTAGGACTTCATATTCTGAGATAACACAGACATGTTTATAATGTGGTATCATTACTAATGTGTTTGAAAAATAATGATTGAATTTTTTTTTTTTTTAATGTATTTGGTACAGGGTCTCACTACATAGCTCAGACTCTTAGTGACCCTACTGTTTTCAGCCTTCCCAGTGCTGGGATTATAGGCACATGACAACGTGCCTAGTCTCACCAGCTTAGCATGCCCAGGCGGGGTGAGCGTGGCATGGGGTGCTGGGGATCAAACCCATCCCTGCACTTGCCTAGGCAGGTGCTTACTCTGCTGAGCTATCTCACCAGCCCTTCTGATTTTTTTTTTTTTTCATATGAAGAAATTACTAATACTTTGAAGTAACATTCTTCTGGCCTGTTGGTACATAATGAATTTGGGTTGGGTTATCTTTTTGGGTGGGTTAGTGAGTATCTGGAACACAATGTTAAGGAGCATATGCTAGTCTTGGGTAAGAGTCCAGCACCATACCTCAAGCCAAATGCCACTTCTTGCCACCTTTGTTTCCATTTTCTAGACATTGTATTCAACAGGGTTCAGATGTAGAAGCTAGATACATTTAATTATACCAAAATAAACTGTGTATTAAAATACATCATAGCCAATGTCAGTAGACTAGAAAATATTTTCCATAAAGCCCCAAGAAAGACTACAAGTTCTAAAGATAAACTAACCGTCTGACAGTATTAAATTTTGATGATATTTTGAATATGAATACTTTATATCACATGTTGATGGAAGTATATAAATTGGCCTAGCTTTTTTTTTTTTTTTGGCCTAGCTTCTTTATAATAGCAAAAATCTTGGAGACTGCCAATATATGTCAGTAAATGGATAAATAGATACAGTGTTGCCACTTGGTAAAATGATCTGTAGTAAAATAAGGGATTTTTTTGCTTGTTTGTTTGTTTTTGTTTTTGTGGAACTGGGGATTGAACTCAGGCCCTTGTGCTTGCCAGGGAAGCGCTTATTCTACTGAGCCATCTCCCTGGTCCCCCAAGGGATGTTTTTGATATTTGTCATTATGGATAACTCTCTAAAACTGCTGATTTTTTTTATTTCATTTATTTGTTTGTTTATTTATTTATTTATTTTTAGTTTTGGCTGAACGAGGGATTAAATTCAGGTCCCTGTGCTTGCCAGGGAATCACTTATTCAATTAAGCCATCTCCCTGGCCCCTTTTTTTTTTTTTTTTTTTTTTTTTTTTTTTTTTTTTTTTGTGATACTGGTGATTGAACTCAGGACTGAGCTATTATTATTAGTCTATTGAGCTATCTCCCCAGCCCTGCTGAATTTTTTAAAACCCCACAACAATCAGTGTTTTTTTTTTTAAATATATAAACACAAATACACATAAACACAAAATTACGCTGTATGTATTAATACATATCTGAAAAGTATGAACTGGATTATGTGACCAACTCATGATTCTGAGTGGCTGTAGGGAATGGAACAGTCTTAGTTTTTTGGTTTTTTTTTTTTTTTGAAAATGGAAACAAATTTGCACCTGTAATCCCAGCTCTTAGGAGGCTGTAAATAAATGGATCACTATGAGTCCAATCTAGTAGTGAGACCTTGAACACCCTGTAGACCCTTCCCTAAAAAATACAAATAAAATAAAATAAAATAAGAACCAATCATGTTTATTCCCATCAAACAAATAAGCTGAAGTCTTGTTTAAGACTGTTTCAGGGGCCAGGGAGATAGCTCAGTAGAATAAGTGCTTGCCTGGCAAGTGCAAGGGCCTGAGTTCAATCCCCAGTTCTGGAAAAAAAAAAAAAAACAAAACACCTCTGCATATAGAGTTTGGGCATGGTGGCATGAGCCTGTAATCCCAGCACTAGGGAGACAGAAATCAGGAGGATCACTACAAGTCTGGGCTGTATAGTGAGACCCTGTACCAAATACATAAAAAAAAAAGAAAAAGAAAAAGAAAATAAATAAAGAAGAGGGCCAAGTTTCAGAAGATGAACCCCCAGAAAATATATTGTGTGAATCTATTTGCATGTAACTCATCCCTTTTAACCAGTTACTTCTGTTTGTTTCTAAGGAAATAAGGTAATTACTTCATATTAATTCATGACAGTGGTTTCTCCTTATGTGTCCTTGATGGTGTCCTATTTAAATAAAGATTCTGTTAGCACACATCATGCTCCTCATTCTGACTCTTAATTTTTTTGAAGTTACTAATTGCAAAGTATCCACCCATGAGAAATACATTCATTTCCACAGTATCAGCATAGAAATGCTAGCATGAAAGACTGAGTTGTATCAAAGCTTAGTAACAGCATTATGCTTTTTTTCTTGTCTAACTTCTTCTCTACAGGGAATCTTTAACCAGTTTCAGTGCAGTAGTGAGAAAGTCCTTCCATCTGACACTCTCCGCAGTGCTCTGGCAAAGACTTTTCAGGATGAACAGCGTTTCCAGCTGGGAATTATGGATGATGCTGCAGAGTGCTTTGTAAGTGCTGGCCTCTGGCTCTCTTTGATATTGCGTGGGACTGTTGATGACCTCCATCAGGGACTGACTGTGATGAAATTTATTGTGCCCTGATCTGTACAGTTAGAATTGGGAGTTTCTCAGAGATCTAGAGTTTCTCTGTTATTGCTGTATGAATTGCCTAGTGGCTTTATTATTTTTTCCTTTAGGCTTAAGGTAGGTTTATGCTTGCTGCCTTATAAAACAATGATTCACCTTTAGAAGAGCCAAGTCTCATTAAAGTACAAAGTAGTGGATTGTACCTCAGAGCTTCTGATTCAGTAGCCTGGGATGGGACCCAAGAATAGCCATCTCTGACAAATTTCCAGATGGTATTAATACTGGTGGTTTGCGAATCATGCTTTTTTGAACTTCTCCATTTCCTATGATACTAAATAGGGAATATTAACTGAGAGCCTGGAGTACAAGTATGATGTGCTATATAAACGGCTATGTTGCCATCATGACTATAATAGAAGATCCCAACTTCTCTGTTTTGTCATCAGCCTTCAAAATTCTCTGTGTAAACGTTAAAAATATCTGAGAATGATTGGGCCAAAATCAGAGGTACTCCTGAGCATTTGGATGGCTTAGTATATTGGCAGTGGGGATATAAAATGTTATCACTTCTTTGGAAAGCAGCTTGATAGTTTCCTTAAAAACTAAACATGAAAATTACCATATGATCTAGAAATTGCTTTTCTGGACATAAATCCCAGAAAAATGAAAACTTATGTTCATAGAAAAATCTTTATGTGAATATTCATAGAAACTTCATATATAGTAGCAAACAAACAGACAAATGAAAAAATGGATGACTAAATGCTCTATATTGGATAGATGGTTAAAACAAACCTGATATTCTATACCATGGAATACTATTCAGCAATAGAAAGGAATAAATTATTGATTTATGCAACTGTTTGGGTGGGTCTCAAGGGAATAATGCTCAGTGAAAATGTAAGGGCTGGGGATATAGCTCAGTGGTATAAAGTGCCTGCCTGGCAAGTGCAAGGTCCCAAGTTCAATCCCCAGTTCCTCAAAAAAATGACAACAACAAAAAACTAATACAAAAATGTTCAACATAGAAAAAGATAATAAAAAAGAAAAAGAAAAGAACAGAAATTTTTAAAAAGGGGTTGGGGAGATGGCTCAGTGGAATAAGCGCTTCCCTGGCAAGCGCAAGGGCCTGAGTTCAGTCCTCAGTTCCACCCCCCCCCCAAAAAAAAAGAAAAAGAAAGAAAGAAAATGTAATATCAAAGGCCAGCCAGATAGCTCAGAGGATTAAAGCACCTGCTTTGGCAGACATAGGGACAGGGGTTTGATCCACGGCACGGTGCTATGCTGTCCCTGCCCCTGGGGGCACACTGCTAGTGAGGCTGGATGTGGTAGTGCATGCCTGTAATCCCAGCACTTGGGAGGCTGAAAACAGGAGGCTCACTATGAGTCCAATCTGTGTCATGAGATCCTATAGACCCTGTACTAATACATACCCCTCTATATAAATGTATATATGTATATATACATATATATGTATATCTGTATACATATAAAATTAAAAGGTTATATTCTATGTATAATGCTCTTGAAATAACAATGATATATTTGGAATAATCAAAAATCAGAGGTATTCTTACTTTATATGACATTGGTTGCTGTTTCTCTGCTTGACAGTTTGTTTATTTGTATATTAAACTTTATTGGTATATTGCATTTGTCCTTTCCTTGTCAGGAAAATCTCCTTATGAGAATTCACTTCCACATTGCTGATGAAACCAAAGAAGATATATGTACTGCCCAACACTGCATTTCCCACCAGAAATTTGCAATGACATTGTTTGAACAGGTGAACTCTATCTCCATCTCTTCTTAGATCTTTACTCTAAGAAAACTTTCCTGGGATGTGGGGTGTTAAGTGGGTAGCATGATAGTTCATGACTCTGGCTGCTTAGCTTTGCTTTTTTTCCCTGGCCCAGTGTGTGTGTACTAGCTGTGGCGCTACTTCTGATCCACTGCCTTTTATCCAGATGGTGCATTACATCTCCACCACTTCTCTTTGGTGAGTCTTACAGAGTTCTCTTCTATACCCTTAGGCAGTAGATTGGGTTTTAACTGAAGGCCACCAAATAGTTATACTTCTGTTACTGAGTCTGTGCTATATTATAGGAACTCAGAACAATCATCTAAAAATAACCTTTGTTCTCCTTCTTTCCTCTCCTATCCTTCCCCTTTTCTTAGGCTCAGTTCTGGCCAGCAAAGTGGGAGGAGAAATGGGGATTCTATGAGCTTTGGATTTTGGGACAGGTAGAAGCACTCATTGTGTTTGTGGGACACTGAGGCTGGTCAGGACAAGGGGCTGTGGTATAGTGGGCAGAAGAAGAAAAATTAAACGTGAGGTAGGAATTTGCATGAATGATTTTTGTGATTTAGCCATAACTCAGGACAATTCCCACCATCACCCCCCTTCTTTCCCCATCTTGAAGCAATCAGGCTATTTGTATGCTAGAAAGAAGAGAAAAACCTTCGCCAAGCATGTTTGGTGAGCTGCTGCAGAATGCCAGTACCATGGGGGATCTGCGGAACTGTCCGGTAAGTTAACTTGGGTGGAGTTCAGGATGAGAAGAACCTTGAATCAGTGGAATTGATATATTATATATATTTCAGAGCAACTGTGGAGAGCGGATCCGGATTCGACGTGTGCTGATGAATGCTCCACAAATTATCACAATCGGCCTGGTATGGGACTCTGACCATTCAGACTTGGCAGAAGATGTCATTCACAGTCTTGGTACCTGCCTTAAGCTGGGTGATGTGAGTGTTATTTACCCTTATACTTGACTTAGACTTCCTCTGTTTTAGTGTTATTCAAGCACTATTCAAAAACCTATGTCCTGGATGACAAATATTATGGTGTTTTGGACAGATATATTTATGTGTACAGATTCATGTGTGTGCATGTACATACTCTCATATCCTTTGTAAAGGTGGCAAGGGCTGATTAGAAGAAATGGGGTTATTTGGGTCTTAAAGGACAGGATGGGCAGAGGCTAGCTAGTTTTTAAGAAAGATTTAATTAATTTATAGCATTATATACTCTGCTCCATGTTAGTTTATACTAGGATGGTATCAGGAAGTATATTCAATCTTGGGAGGTAGTACAGTCAAGAGTGGTCAGTTCTGACTGGAGGGCTAGGTGGGAGCTGAGGGGGATAAAAGTTTGTGGCCTGAGCCCAGGGATATGAGATGTACAGTTAAAAGCCAGTATTTGCAAAGTAGATAATATAGCAGCTGGAGAGGGAATTATAGGTGTAGGAAATTTCTGTGTATTTATTTAGAGAAATAGGAGAAAAGACATCAGACTAGATTTCTATCTTATCAGCTTCATATCCTAGGTGAGTGCATCCCAAATTTTTCTGTGGTTTAAGAAGAACTTGAAAGTTTGGGTTCTTTTTAAAAATTTTATTACAATTTTTAAATAAATAAAATAAAATAAATTTTTATTTTATTTTATATGTTTGGTACAAGGTCTCACAATGCAGCTCCGACTCATAGTGATCCTCCTATTTTCATCCTCTCCATTGCTGGGATTATAGGTGTGTGCCACCACGCCCAGCCCAGTGGCATATGGTGCCAAGGATCAAACCCCCGTCCCTATGCTTGCATAAGCCAGTCCTTAGTCTGCTGAGCTATCTCACTGGCCCTAAAAAATTTATTTTAAAGAGAAAAAATACTTCAAAACAAGATCATAGGAGATGGTTTTCTTTATACTAATTTTCTTTTCTTTTTTTGTATTGGGAATTGAATTTAAGATCTTGTGCTTCTCAGGCAGGCACTGTGCCACTGAGCTATATACCAGACATTATCCTAGTTTCTCTCTGGGTATTTCTGTGACTAAAGATTAGAACCTTTATTGTTATTGTTTCAAAGCCATTAAGACATCACTGAGAATCAGTGATATTGAGAATAAGTGAACTATCTGAAAGAATCCTGAGTAGGCTATGTTCAATAAATTTCTTTTTTTTTTTTTTTGGCGGAACCGGGGATTGAACTCAGGTCCTTGCGCTTGCCAGGGAAGCGCTTATTCCACTGAGCCATCTCCCCGGCCCCAATAAATTTCTTTTATTCTACTTTCTTTTTTCTTTCTTTTTTTTTTTTAAGGAGTTCTTTCTTTCTTTCTTTATTTTTGTGTGTGTGTGTGGCCAGCTCAGCTCACCAGGGGGTGGGGCTGGCTGGCATGTGGTGCTGGGGGATTGAACCGTGGTCTCTGTGCTTTGCTTAGCTTAGCTTGTTCCAAGTAGGTGCTTTAGACCACTGAGCCATCTCACCAGCTCTTTTATTCTACTTTCTACAGTCTAGATAGTCTATACCATTCTGATTTAATTTTCATGATTATTTTCTCAACTGTGTAAATTCCTTAAAGCCATAATCCTTTGCTTCAAATGTTTCTCTTAGCACTCAGGATATTGCTAGTTACCTAGAAGTTAAAATGCTGATGACCAGCATAGATATATTCCCCCCACCCCCCTTTTTCTTTTTTTGAGACAGTGTCTTAGGGGCTATGTAATTCAGGCTGTGGTCCTGAACTCATTGTGTAGCCCACACTGGCCTTGAATTTGTAACAATCCTCCTGCCTTCTGGATTTCCCCTCTTGGGCCAGGGAGATGGCTCAGTAGGATAAGAGTTTGACTGGATTTCCCCTCTTAAGGATTTTCAAGATTCTCAGTAGGAAAATTATGTTTGTGCTGGTAGCTGATAAACAACCTTTAGAAGTTGAGAACATTTTTTTTCCTAGCTTCTCACATGAGATTTGTCATAATTTAGGGATTTTACAAGGGGGAACAATTTAATACCAGATACATATTTTATAATATTATTTATAATAGTCACCCAAAGAATCATATGCAAAGAGTTCATGAAATCTGTCCGCATTAAAAAAAAAAAAAAAGAAAGAAAAAGAAAAAAAAGAAATCTGTCCACACACTAAAGACCAAAGAATCCAGCTGAGGGCCTGGATTCTGTGATAATGTTCTGCATGAGTCCAGCTGAAGACCTGGAGCTCATAATAATGCCTCCCACGAGTCCCCCTGGAGTCCTAGAGTCCGCAACAATGTCTCATGCAGGTCTGTTGGTGAATCTGTACTAGGAAGGCCAAAAAAGGGCCATGGTTGAAGCTAGAAAGTCTATGCCAGCAGGATGAAGGATCTGTGCTAACAGGCTGAGGGATCTGAACTGGAGCCAAGAAGTGATGCTCAAAGTAAGAACCAGAGGTCTCCTAAAAGGTACAACAGCCATCCTCAGCAACAGCAAGGTCCTGAGCTCCTCCCATGATAACAGATGAATTCCCATCAGGAAAGTCAATACGACAAGCTTCTGCAGGAGACTGAGCAGTCAGTGTACCATCTTCCCCTCTGGAGCCAGGAAGCGATGCTCAAAGTGAGGACCAGGGCTCCCCCAAAGTGAACTGTAGCCATTCTCAATGACAACAAGGTCCTGAGCTCCTTTGACAGTAAGAGCAGCTGAGTTCATCAGGAAAGCCAGCATGACAAGCTCTTTCAAGAGATCCAACAGGGAGCTTCCCTAGCAGTCTCCCAACAGCTTCTCTAGTTCTGCCTCTTATGCTGCTGGCAACAGTCCTCAGGTGTGCCTCCCACACTCAGGACCATGCCAGTTCATTTCAGCTGGGTATAAGTTGACTACCAGTAAGCAATCCACCACAAGATCCTTCAGTAACAGAATAATAAAAATTATGAGAAAACATCTCTCCTTATCAGTTTACTGTTTACTATCTTCTTGCTTTTCTGCACATTATCACTTTATAGGTTTTCTTTGTTTGTTTTGAGACAGGGTCTCACTATGTAGTTCACACTAGCTTTGAATTCACTGTAGCCCAGGCAGGCCTCAAACTCACAATGATCCTCTTGCTTTAGCTTCCTGAGTGCTGGGATTACAGGCATATGTCATCATTTCTGATGATTAATTTGGACTAGCAAATAGAAAAGAAGGAAGAAGCAAGTCAGTACCTTAATTAAGAAATGTTGATTGACTCTGCTAAGAGATATGAGAAGATTGAATATGTGATGGTTCTTTCCTTTCTTTTCTTTTCCCCTACAGCTGTTTTACAGAGTAACAGATGACCGGGCCAAGCAGTCTGAACTGTATTTAGTAGGAATGATATGTTACTATGGCAAACATTATTCTACATTCTTTTTTCAAACAAAGGTCCGCAAATGGATGTATTTTGATGATGCTCATGTTAAGGAGGTAGGGATATTTAAGGCCTTCCTAAAATCTTCGATGCTGAGGGATACAAATATTTGTATACAAATAACATACAAAATAACATAATTATTTGTCTTTTGTATTGCGTTTTTATAATTTTGAATGATGACCTTCACTGCTGTAAGATGTACTTTCCATTTTTCTTTTTCTTTTTTTTTCATTTTTCTGTTTCTCAAATTTATGAGGATATTAGTCTTATTTTTTTATTTAATTGGTTTTTTTATTGTTTCCAACATTTAATAATTACAAACTATGCTGCTATAAATATGGGTGCACATACATCACTGTGGTGTCATACTTTTAGCTGGGTCAAATGGGACATGTAATTATAGGTTTTTTTTTTTTTTTTTGGTGGTAGGGATCAAACTCTGGGCCTCAGCTCTTAGTCCTAGTTTTTTTTGGGGGGGAATACCTACACTGATTTCCACAGTGGTTGTACCAATGCTTTTGCCCCACATTCCTGAAAGCATTTGTTATTGGTTGATTTTATTCTTTCTCTCTTTTTTCTTTCTTTAGACAGGACCTCATTATATAGTTCAGGCTGGCATTGAACTTACAGGTCCAGGGATACAGCTGAGTGGCACAGTATCTGCCTGGCAAGCACAAGGTGCTGAGTTTGATTCACAGTTCCAAAAAAAGCCACTTATAACCTAGGCTGCCTTCAAATTCATGGTGATCCTCCTGCTTCAGCCTCCTGAGTGCTGGGATTCCAGGCGTGCACTACCGTGTCCCATGGCTAATTTGTTGTCAGTACTCATTCTTTCTGGAGATGAAATCTCAGTATTCTTTTAATTTGCATCTCTTGAATGACCAGAGATAATGAACATTTTTTCATATATTTATCTTGTTTGTACTTCATCTGAAAAGTATGTATTCATCTCAGATGTCCATTTTTGGATTGGGTGTTTAAATTCGAAAGGTCTGATTTTGTTAAATTCTGTATATGTTTTAGATATTAATCTTTTTGAGGAACAATTGACTAAAACTTTTTCCCACTCTGTGTTGCCTTTTTACTCTGTTGATGGTTTCTTTTGCTTTACAAAAGTTTTTTATTTTGATTATTTAATTGTTTGAAGATAGAATCAATATGTCTTTTATTGTTTTTCTCTCAGAGTCCCTTCACAAGACACTTAGCATAGTTTTGTATTTACAGTGATGCAATACCTCCTTTCCCCTAGTATTGGATTGAACCCAGGGCTTTTGTACTGAGTTATATTACAGCCCTTTTTAAAAAATTTTTGAGACAAGATCCTACCCAAGGTGCCCAGGCTGGCCTCATACTTGTGATTTTTCTGCTTCTGCCTTCTAGAATGCTAGAGCTACAGGCATGTGGCACCATAAGAACGTAAAAAAGTGCTTTTGAAAAATTTATGTAAGAACAGTTAATGCCTCAAATTAGGTTACAAAGTGAACACAAAGTTCAAAATTCCAGATCTTTTTTTCTTCAGAATTTGAAATCTTGTCATTATCAGTGCTTTGTCTCAGGGCAGCTATATTCTTTGTCGTCCTCCTAAAGTGTCCTATCACAGATTAACATTTTTTTTTTGGAACTAGCATAGAAAAATAAGGCCATAATGATACTTGAAGCATGAAAGCTGGTACAGTCTAAACCACAGATTCTATGGCTAAAGTGGTTTAGGTCATTTGTGTGAATGTTAGGAGGTCTCTTATGATAAAAACTAGCTGCTGGGAGGACTGTTGACTGTAATAATTCATGGCCTTGATTGAAGCAGTGTCTTTCACAAATAGTAAAGTCTCTCAAATTCCCTTATTTTTCTTTTCTTTGTTTCTTTCTTTCTTTTTTTTTTTTTTTTTTGCTGCCATTATAATTTCAGTTAATTTATATAAATTCTTTGAGGGGCTGGTGAGATGGCTCAGTGGTCTAAAGCACCTACTTAGAACAAGCTTAGCAAAGCACAGGGTTCAATCTCCTAGCACTACATGCCAGCCAGCCCCGCCCTCTGGTGGGCTGAGCTGGCCACACACACACACACACACACACACACACACACACACAAATAAAATAAAATAAAATAAAATAAAATAAAATAAAATAAATTTTTTGAACATTAGTTTTTATTTGGAAAGTATTCTTAGAAGGTATTAAATAAGAGTTGTATGGGAAAAGTATATAAATGTGTGTTTGATTAAAATAACAATGCTGGGCATGGTGGCACATATCTGTAATCCCAGCACTCATGTGGCTGAGGCAGGAGGGTGACCATGAGTACGAGGCCAGCTGTGGCTACAAAGCAAATTCTAGGCTAGTGTGAATGGCATACTAAGACTGTCACAAAAAGATAAAAACAAAAAAGGTAATGCAATTACAGATTTACATAGTGGCTGTTATGAACAAAGCACTGTGCTATTTGTCCAAGCTGTCCAGCTGCACAGCTTACCTCTAAGAAATCCAGTTCAAACCCAGTTCCAGCTTAAGAATGTGGCATGAATGTGAGATGTGGTTGGATTGTTGTGTCCATGGCAGTTATGTTCCTCCTGCTCATGGCGATAGATCTGTATCCATCACAGGGCTAGGGCTGAGAGGTTGAGCAGTCTATTCTAAGCAGTTTGACATTTATGTCCTGCCACGTGTGAGCTCTAAAATGGAACATCATTTATTCTGAGGCAGTCTCTGAGGGAATTCCTGTCTACTTTTTGGCTTCATAAGAATAATTTTAATATTTAGGAGAAAATTGCAGAAATGCACATTCCAAGTGAGAGGTTTACTCTAATCCCCTCACATAGTCTGTCCCTTTTTGAGCACTTTTAGCATATGTATGTGTGCACATATATGTTTGTTTAGTTTAGTTTGTTCATTTGTTTGTTTTAATGATAGTGGGGATTGAACTTCCAGGGCTTTTACACTGAGCTGCAGGCCTTTCTTAAATTTTTTGAGGCATGGTCTCACCAAGTTGCTCAGGCTGGGCTTGAATTTGTGATCATCCTGACTCAGCCTCCCTGAGTTCTGAGATTATAGGTGTACATTACCACACCCAGATTTTTATTTGTTTTAAAACTGAGTAGCAACTTTATGTATTATTTTTCTTATGGACTATAGTTTATAAAATATTTTAGCAAAAAATATAATAAAAATTTACAGTTTATGTGTAAAATCTCATCTCATTACTCAATTCTTTTTTATACTCAAGCAGAATGGAAAAATGTGTTTTAATTATGAATGTAAAGTATAATTATCATGCTTTTCTGGTTGTTCTGGTTCAGATTGGGCCCAAATGGAAGGATGTCGTGACCAAATGCATTAAGGGGCATTACCAACCCTTGCTGCTGCTTTATGCAGATCCCCAGGGTACCCCAGTATCTACCCAGGACCTGCCTCCCCAGCCTCAGTTCCAGCCATACAGCAGGACATGCTATGATAGTGAAGATTCAGGTGAGCCACCTAGGTCTCTACATCTCCCCTCCCCCTCAGTGCATGTAATCAGGCAGTTGGTTTTCATACTTACATGCTTAGCATATAGCCTAGTTTGAAGAGACAGATCCATTAGATGTAAGAAAAAAGTGCCACCTTGTACTGAAGCCTAACTTATGTGAGGCTGTTTCCCTCAGCCTTCATGAATGTGTTACTTGAATTATTCGACCTGAACTCAAAGTGAGATTATGTTTATTTATATAAGCCAAGTTTGTGAGGGAGATGTCAGTAGTCAGCCTTCTAATGTTAGATAAAATGATTGATTCTTATTAGTAATTCAACAGTGATTTAAATTAATTGTTAAGAAAGTTGGAGTTACTACGAAGCTAATCATTTGTAGGGGGATTAGAAGGTTTTGTTTTAAAATTCCAAATGGAATAGTAATATTTCTCAGTTTGCAATTCATTTGTTTACTTCTGTTTGAAACATACTGTTTTCCTATATAAACAGTTTTTAGCTTGATGGCTAACATCTTGGGCTAGCCCACAGAGGCTTGCTCATATGTAGCATACAATCCTAATAGTTTTGGTATGGTTTCTGATAAAGGAGAAGAAGAAGAAAAAAGCTTTTTTTTTTTTAATGTTTTGGATCTATGACCAGCCCTTAGTATACTTTTGAAAGATAAAGTTCTTGGCTTTGAAATCTTTCTCCCTCTCCTTTTTCTCTACTTCCTGCTTAGAACCTGGAGCTTGTTCTTATTTCTTTACCACACCTAGACCTGTTCTACTTCTTCCTTTGGCCAGACACCCATATGTCCTGTTGTACTTAGCTGAGCATTTATTTAGAAGCAAGCATTCTGAGTGAGCTAATGCACACTAAGGAGTAAAAAGCCAGCTCTATAATTTCTCAGAGATATTAAGAAATACATATAATACCAATTAAATTTTTTATAGTGACATTCTTGCCAGTATAAGAGAAAGATTATAAGATAGATTAGCAAGTAGTTATGTACCACAGGTTGGCCTGGGATTTTTCACTGAAATAGAACTTATTTCTTACAACTTTTCATTTCTTCCACTTTCCCCTCATAGGTTTTCTAAAATCCCAGTTTTTCACAGTTGCAGGCAAAGTGAGGGCTTCAGCAAGGTAGGGGCAGTGGAGGGAGGAATTGTTTTGTGTGCCTGGATGACCTGGAAGTCGGGCGTTGGGAAGAATGGCTCTGTGGATATCCTTCTCACCCTTCCTTCTAGGAAGTTCTTGCCTTATGGAGCTATTGCATCTATCTTTTTTCCTACCCTCTTTCACTGATTTTCCCTCTTTCCTCATTTTTGTATGTATGTCTCCTCCTTCCCTTAGGGAGGGAGCCCTCAATTTCAAGTGACACTCGGACAGATTCATCAACGGAGAGCTATCCTTACAAACATTACCACCATGAGTCTGTGGTCAGTCACTTCTCTTCTGATTCTCAGGGAACAGTCATCTATAATATGGAGAATGATTCCATGTCCCAGAGCAGTTGGGACACAGGTAGGGACTTAAACACAGGACTCTGCTCACCTGATTCAATACCTGCATGGAAGGACTCCTAAGACAAAGAAAATGGGGCAAGTTAGACATGTTTGCATGCAAGGTGGAAAGGCACAGAACTTGGGTAACTGAGTGACTATAAAGAAACAGCAGAGTTCTAAATGAACAGTGATGCTCTATAGCACATACTCTTGTCAGTAGTAGCACATCAATAAGCACCATTATAATATGATTATTGATGTAATTTTTTTTTTCTCCTGTTACACTTTTGACCACTGTCCTTCCCACAGTGCCCCATTAATCCCTATGGTCTTATACCATGTGATGTTCCTATATTGGGTTTTGTCCTGAGGGAAGAGGTTTTTGCGAAAGTTTATTTATGGGTGGGACCACCTGCTCATTAGCTTGCTAAGCCACCTAAGGATAGATAAGCATAAGAAAGGGAGGTAGTTGGCTTATTATTGTACATTCCATACAGATAGCATTCTTGAATTGTCTTATTAATCTGTAGGAGAATGTGCTTGTGTTAGTGGAAGAAATCAATACATGACATACAGTACAGGGAAGAAGAGTGAAGGAAAATTCATTGTGGCACATAGAACACCAAAAGCATGGAACACTGCTCATATTTTTAAGAATTTGGGGAATTAGTGAGCTCATGAGGCTTCAGATTAGAGGTTTACTGTGTGGTGGGGCCTTTATTTAAATCAAGAATTTCAAAAATTTTTAAGAATACAGAATGGTGTATTGCCCTTTAATGTGCATGTCACCTAGTTTCACTATAACTTTATATGATTGTTTTTCTATTTATAACTTTACCTGTATCTGTACCCACTTGCTTCATTCTTAAATTATTTTGAAAAAAAATATTTTGGAGTAAAACTCAGATAGCACTTCTTTCATAAATATTTTAGTATGTATTAGAAAGTATAAGAAATCATTTCTTAAATATACCACTACCAAACTTAAAAATCAGTCACTGTTTTAGTTCAGTGGCACAGGACTTGCCTAGCATGCATGAGGCCCTGAGTCTGATCTTAAGCACCACCACCAAAAATACAAAAGTAAGGATGATTCCTAAGTTACTAAATAACCAATAGATGTTCATGTATCATCTTACATGTCAGAATTTTTTTGTGATTTGTGTATTGCACTCATACTCCAAATAAAGTTTATAAATTGTGATAGGCAGATTACTTTTAATGTATAGGTTTCTCTTCTATTTTTTTCTTTGTAATTTATTGTTGTAGAACTAAGTAGCTGTCCTGTGCATTTCCTACATTCTGAGTTTTGCTGACTGTATCCCATGTTACAATTTAATATCTTCCTCTGTCTTTATGTTTTATAAGTTGCAGTTGAAACAAGTTCAGTCAGGTTCATATTGAATTTCTTTTGTAATTACTGTGAGATGGTATTAGATTTGAGTTTTTAAGAGCACTTTTCTGTAACTGTTAACTAGGGAAGAAACACACCAACAATTAGCTAAGTGTTTTCTGGGAGAGTCAGGTATAGGGGTTGGTGTATGTGGGGATTCTCTGTCATTGGTTTAATATTGATAAGTTTAGTTCTCTTGAGTGATTTTTTTTTTCTGCTTTCTTAAATCTTTCTTGTAGGCCTAGAGATGGCAAAGTATTATATAGAAGCAATAAGAGGTTGCATGAAATGATTGAAAATATTTATCTACATCATTGATACCTGAGTGTGAACAAGGATTTTTATTTACTAGTATATGAAAACATTTCTGTTGGATGTGAATGCATGTGAGAACCTAGGGGGATTTTCTGTCAGCTATCTTTAAACTTAACTCACTTTCTAACTTCTACCAGCTTTTTAGTTAATTATATGCTTTGTAACTCAACATTGTGTTTAGTCTAATTGTCCTGTATTTGCACACTGTAGGCATGAAACATGGCAAGTTACATAAATAGTCTAGCCCCCCTTGGCTTCCTAGTGATTATTTTTTTAGCTTTTTTTTTTTTGCAATACCAGGGATTGAACTCCAGACCTTGCGCTTGCCAGACAGGCGCTTATTCTACTGAGCTATCCTCCCAGCTCCTTTCCCAATGATGATGATGATGGTGATTATTATTATTATTTATTTATTTTTATTTATTTTGCAGAACTCAGGCCCTTGTGCTTGCCAGACAAGCACTTATTCTACTGAGCCATCTCCCTGGCCCCATCCCAGTGATTTTTTTTGGCAGAACCGGGGATTGAATTCAGGCCCTTGCACTCACCAGAGAAGCACTTATTCCACTGAGCCATCTCTCCAGCCCTTCCATCCCAATGATTATTATTGTGAAACTATGAAGGATATTCTCTAGGTGATACCAGGTTTGATGAAGCATAGTGTGGAGATTAGAAAAATTACAAAAGTTGAAATAACTTTTTTTTTTTTTTTTTGGCAGAACTGGGGGTTGAACTCAGGCCCTTGCACTTGCCAGGGAAGTACTTATTTTACTGAGCCATCTCCCGGCCCCTAACTTTTTTTTTTAATGGTACTGGGGATTGAACTCAGGACCTCAGGCTTGCCAGGCAAATGCTTATTCTACTGAGCTATCTCCCTGACCCCCTATGAAGTACCATTTTAAATGTTCCACATTCAAGGAAAGTTTAGAACTAGATCTTAAGCCCAAATATAATCTGAGCTCTTTTGGGCAAAGTCTAGGATATTCAGAATTATATCAGATATACTAAACATCAGACTTGACTTGGTATGTGTTGCCAAATAAATAAAAATAAAAACCTCTCTTCAATTATGAGAGTGAAAATACGGATTTTTTTTTTTTTTTTAGAACCGGGGATAGAACTCAGGCCCTTGCGCTTGCCAGGGAAGCGCTTATTCTACTGAGCCATCTCCCTGGCCAAAAATATGTAATTTTAAAGTATTTGCCTTTTTAAAACTTCACAAAGGCAGGGCAACTACCTTAGCTATCACTTGCTCAGCATGAGTGAGTCCCTGAGTTTGGTCCTGAGAACCACAAAAATAAATAAAAACTTAACCACATGTGTCCTTAGTTCAGATCAGTGGCTGCTTAGTCCCTATGACTTCTGATTCATGAAGTCACTAAGCTAATGGCAGTCTTAATCCCGAAGAGACTAGAGTCTCAGGACAGTGGAAGTCAGTCAAAATATCAGCTTCCTCCCATTTCTAGGACATCTGACTGACAGTGAGTGTAATCAGAAACACACATCCAAGAAAGGGTCCTTGATAGAGCGCAAGAGGAGTTCTGGCCGTATTAAGAAGAAAGGTGATGAGCCACAGGCTTCTGGATACCACAGTGAAGGCAAGCCATTCTTTATTCTTCATTTTCCTTTTCTCTGTTAAATTTGTCATGTGCCAGACTCTTAGCTTGTCCTTTTTGCTCGAAGAGCTTTGCTTTGTTTTCTGGATTTTGCAGTCTGGGTATATGCGTTCATTTTAAATATTTATATTTGTTTCATTCTTTGTGTTTTTAGGAGAAACACTGAAAGAGAAACAGGCTCCAAGGAATACATCTAAACCATCCAGCAGCACCAACAGGCTAAAGGATTTTAAAGAGACAGTCAGCAATATGATCCATAACAGACCATCCTTGACTTCTCAGACCAATGTAGGATCTTCCTGTGGGGGGAAGGGAGGAGACCAGCCTGACAAAAAACCTCCTAAGAGCCTGCCTTTAAACTCTCGTGATTGGGAAATAGAGAGTACCAGCAGTGAGTCAAAATCCAGTTCTTCTAGCAAGTACCGTCCAACATGGAGACCCAAACGAGAGTCATTGAATATTGATAGTATTTTTAGTAGGGACAAAAGGAAGCACTGTGGCTATACACAGCTTAGCCCCTTTTCTGAGGATTCAGGTGAGGACTTACTAGGGAAGAATTGGGTTTTCAAATAAAGCTGGCTTATATATTTGAAAAACCTGAAGTTTTTGGTAGACCTGCTAAAAAGCATCTTTACTCTGATGTCAGACTTTTGGGGGATGTGAGTTCAATAAGAGACTGGTGGGAAGGATTAGTTACATCTTGGTTTAGATAAATAATCAACCTCCTTTTTCATATTTGTCCTTTGATTGGAACAGCTAAAGAATTTACATCAGATGAACTAAGCAAGCCTCCTACTTATGACATTAAAGCTGGTAGACCAAGCCCCAAATATAAGCCCTGGGGTCCAGCACGGCCAGGCTCTCAACTTTTAGAGCAGCACCCTCGTCTAATCCAGCGAATGGAATCTGGCTATGAGAGCAGTGAGAGGAACAGCAGCAGTCCCGTCAGCCTGGATGTAGCCCTCCCTGAGAGCTCCAATACCTGCAGGTATTGTTTGGTCTTCGAATAAAGGCAGCGTCACGGAGGTGTACTTTGAGCTGCTACTTGGAATTTTCAAACAACCAAGACCAGTGAAGAGTTGGGCTCTAGTAGCATCCGTCTGTGTAACTAGAGGAGCAATCAGTTTTCTGTAGTATAGCACCCTCTGCTGGGAAGAGGAGCAAAGGCATCTTAAGAGCAAAAAACAAAAACAAAAACACTTTCAGTGATTATTTAGTTCTTGCTTCAGCAGCATATGTATTAAAATTGGAACAATATAGAAGTTAACCTTGCCCCTTATGCGAAGATGACATGCAAATTCATAAATGTTCCTTATTTTTCAGACATGTAGAATGAACAAGTCTTAATATGTATAACAAAGAATATAAATATTAAAATTATATATGGAAATAATATTAAATAGTTTTTTTTTTTGAGGCAGGGCCCCACTGTGTAGTTCAGGCTAGCTTTGCACTCACTATGTAGCTCAGCCTGGCTTTGAATTTACTGTGATTCTCCTGTGTCAGCCACCTGAGTGCTGGGATTACAGCCGTGCACCACCATGCCTAGTTTAAAAGAGATTTTAACTGCTTTTGCCACAAAACTCCTGCCCCTCAAACAAAAAAAGTAACTGAGTTGATAAATGTTAGCTTTGCTTCAGTTATTGCTATGTACATCCGATATGTTGTGTGCCTTAAACATGTATAACTTAAAAATGGTTCATAATTTTTTTTGCGGAACCAGGGATTGAACTCAAGCCTTTGCGCTTGCCAGGCAAACATTTATTCTACTGAGCCATCTCCCTGGCTCCCATAAATAATTTTTAATGAAAGAATGAATTCATGAATCAGACCATTGTATTCCTAAAATTAGAGAAGAAACACAGCTGTTATTTATTTTTTTTCTTTGTTGTTTTTGTTTCTTTAAAAATTGAGGGCTGGGAATATAGCTCAGTGGTACAAGTGCCTGCCTGGTATGTATAAAGTCCTTTTTGTGTGTGTGTGGTACCAGGGATCGAACTCAGGACCTTGTACTTGCTAGGCAGGCACTTATTCTACTGAGCTATCTCCCGGCCCATGTGTAAGGTTCTGAGTTCAATTCCTAGTACCAAAAAAAAAAAAAAAAAAATAATAATAATAATAATAATTAAACCCAGGAACTTTGCACTGAGCTTCCCTATCCCCCTTCCTTAGGGTTACTGAAGATTCTGTGTTTTATGAAGTCAATGGTATTAACATTTCTGTAAGGTGATAACAATTTAATACAGCACATTGTGTCCAGCCTGTAGAGCTCAGTTTAGTCTGTAAATTTTAAATCTCTAAACATTTCTTTTCCTAAGTTGTCCTTGAGGTGATTTTCCTGGTAGTTTATACTTGCTTTGGAAGCAGTGATTGTATCTTCTACAAGGGTGATACCACATTTTCATTCTTTTTCACTCTTCTTCTCTGGCTGCCTGGCCCTTTTCAGTTTTACTCAGCGAAGAGTAAGATGGGCTAGGGATATAGATCAACTGTAGCAGGATTGGTTGGCATATGCAAGGTTTTATACGAGAGGTAGGGAAGGAGGGAGAGAGGGAGGGAATGAGTGAGAGACAGAGACTTGAGACTGACTTGAAAGAAGGAGAGGCAGTACATATGAGAGCAATATGTTCATTATTTAATAGGTTTTATGTGTTTACTATGTGCCAGATGCTATGTCCAATGCCCAAGATGTGGGCAAGGTAAGAAGATTGAGAAATTAGTGAATAAGTAGATATTTCAAGTTTTCAGAAGTAGTTTATCAGTTTTTCTTTTTAAAATAACCTCTCTCATATCTTGGGCATTGGACATAGTATCTGACACATAGTAGACATTCAAAACCTATTGAATGAACGAATATTGCTTTCACATGTATTGCCTTCTTCCTTTCAAGTCAGTCTCAGTCCCTGAGTCTCTCAGTCTCTGTCTCTCTCTTGCTCACTTACAGTGAGTGTTATATACAGTGCTGTCTACAGCAGTCTCAACCTCTTGAACTTAACAGAGCCTCGTGCCTCAGTCTCCCAAATAGATAGGACTATAGGGATATTACCAGCACACTTGTCTCTTAGTCACTTTAATTATATTACTTGGATGTTTTGTTGAGGGAATTTAGTCTTAGGAATATTGTTAGTAACCATGCTTTTGATAGTTTTACTAGATGATGCTTTGGCTTCTCTTTTGAAGGGATCCAAGTGCTAAGAAATCAACAGGATTTGTTCCTTCTTGGCGTCATATCCCAAAGTCTCACAGCAGTAGTATCCTGGAAGTGGACTCCACAGCATCCATGAGTAGCTGGACAAAGACTCAACCCCTCTTGGGTAAACACAAGGATACTGGGTTGTGGGGAACTAGATTTGACTCCAAGTCTGTTTTGGAGAACAGCCTTACCTGAGCATATTTGTCTTTAGAGAATAGTTGTAGTTTGGATATTCCATCAGAATATAAACATAGAGACATTTCAGCTGCTCCGTCTTTGCATTTACCTATTTTTTATTCTCCATCATAGTTTGGCCAAATGTTTCCATGTTGGAGAGAGCTTTTGCAAGAACAATAAGGGATGGAAATGTTAACAGTCGGGGCTGGGGAGATAACTTGGCAGTCTAAGTGTCTGCTTGGCAAGCTCAAGGACGCAGGTGCTGCATGCTGTGCCAGCCCCACCCCAGGTGTGTTGTGCCAGCCACTGAGACTGGGTGTGGTGGTGCACACCTGTAATCTCAATGCTGGGGAGGCTGAGACAGTAGGAGGACCATTATGAGTCTGAGCTGCAAAATGAGACCCTGTACCAAATGAATTAATAAATAAAGGATTTTTAAAAACTTTAAAAAAGAAATGGTGAATAGTCATAGTAACAGCTCCATTTCACCAAAAAATAATTTCTAGGACAGTGGTGGCAAACCTATGGCATGCATTCCATAGCACACTGTTTGTGTCATTAGAAATTTTAAAAGGTTTGTTATCACTGTCCTAGGGCTCTCACTGGTATAAGAAGAACCTCTTAAGAAATAGATTTTTTGGGCTGGGGAGATGGCTCAGTAGAATAAGTGCTTGCCTGACAAGTGCAAGGGTCTGAGTTCAATCCCTGGTTCTGCCAAAAAAAAAAAAAAAAAGAAATAGATTTTTCATTGATTAGTGCTGTGGGTTGAGATATGAAAAGGAGGGAAATATGCTCTGGGCAAAATTGGGATTAAGCAATTTATTTTTTTTAAATCAGATTTTATTGGTACATTTTAGATATACATAATGATCACATTCATCATAGAGAATTTGTATCTATACATGATATAACTTGATTCTTTCTGGAAAATAAGCAATTAAAATGTATTTCTGCCTTGGTCTCTATTTCCTAGTCTGATTATCAATCAGTTCTCTTAATAATTGCTGAAAGTTCTTAGAGGTGGTTGGAATGAAGGTGCACAGCAACAGTAATAAAAAGGCGTGAACCCTTTTAGGTATGTGTGCTGTAGTTGTTAACATCTGGTAGGGATCTGGTAGAGCAGAGGCAGAAATGTCTGTATCCTAGGTTACAGTAAGTTAGGTATTGATGACAGAAATTCATACTTCCCAATGAAATTATACGTTTGGTTTATTTCCTACATTTTAAGTTATGTCATGCTGAACACACCTGTAGCCATGCCTATGCTTATTGCCCTTTCTTTTGGGGTACTGCCTTTTTATCATACTAAAGACTGAGTCCTGTAATAATCCTCAACTCTGGATAGGACAAGCTGGATAAAATACACCAGTAGGACTGACTCTTCAGCTGGTAAAACATACTTAGCGAAGAGTTATGACACAATTCCAAACATATTACTTCGCCATACTCTTTGTATAACAAGTCATATATGTCCCATAGCTTGTTCTAATAATTCTATTAAGGGATACAACAAACATTTTTATCTGATGACTGATGGCTGTTTTTTTTTTTTTTTTTGGCGGAACCAGGGATTGAGCTCAGGTCCATGTGCTTGCCAAGGAAGCGCTTATTCCACTGAGCCATCTCCCCAACTGATGGCTGTTTTTTAAAAAAAACTGCAGATTTTTAAAAAGCTGAAGGTATAAATCGTGTTCACCAATTCAGTAATCTAACTGTAGGTATAAATCGTGTTCACCAATTCAATAATCTACTTTTTGCCTCCTGAAATTGAAGGAAGCAGTGTTTTCATTATGGTATATATTATTTTCTTTTCCTATATATTTACCAATACATAGATAAGTTTGTACACATACATATGGGCTACTTTTTTTTAAATGAAGTTTTACTATATGTATTATTGTCATTCAAATTTTTCACTTACCATGGACATCACTAAATCTATTTAGATCCATCTATGAACACTTAAAAGGTTGAAGTTTTCCTATTGTGGAAATTGTACAAATTCATTAATGAGATGATGGAAATTAACAGTGAGAAACTAGCTTTCGCAAAGCTTCCCAATGAGTCAGTGGCAGCGCTTAGTAGAGTGCTTCCTGCTGGTTAAAGCATGAATTATGCCTGACATGATAACTGTGCACCTGTGATCCCAGCATTCTGTGAGGCTGAGGCAGGGAAATTGCAAGCTAGAGCCCAGCCTAGCCAATTTAGTGACTTGGCAAAACCATGGCTCAAAATTTAAATTAAAATTAAAAAGAAAGAAAAGAAAAAAAAATGAAGGAAGGAAAGAAGAAAGGGAAGGACAGAAAGTGGGAGGGCAGGTGGATGGACTAAGAATTTAGCTCACTGTAAAGGTCTTGGGCTCTATCTCCAGTACTGCAAAAACCAAGCCAAAATGAACAGAAAAGCACAGTAGAGCATAGGTTATTATCTACTTTGCTGAAGTGAGCTCCACCCCATGCCATGTGTGTCATTATTTTTGTGTGTGATTCATTTTTTTCATTCCTAAAATGGGAGTATCTTGTCAGGTATGAGAATTATATGATTATTTCACATGTTATTTATATGTAAAATATTTAATATTACTCTTAGTACATTGAAAATGCTTAACAAATGTTAAGTATCCTATCATTAGAGGACAATGTAATAAAATATTCATTGTTGTTATGAAATGTTTAAAAAGTATTTGTTATTGTTATTATTACTAGCCTGGGTCCCACCCTGAATCTGATATGAAAACACTATCCAAAACACAAACTTCAGAGGGCTGACCAAATAGCTCAGCAGCCAAATAGCTCAGCAGATTAAAGCGCCTGCAGGTGTGGGGAGTACCATCCCTGTGCCTGCCATGCGCTGAGACAGCAATTGAGACTGGGCATGGTGGCGTGGGCCTGTAATCCCAGCACTTGGGAAGCTGTAAACAAGAGACCCTGTAGACCCTGTTCTAAATAAAAAAAAAAAAAAAAAAAAAAAACCCACAAACCTCAAATTAAAGGCAAGGGTGCTTCATTTTACTTATGGAACTATGACATTTTCTCCTTTGCTTTATGCAGGTAGGGAGGTAACTTCTAAAAGTGAACTGGATGAATTGCAGGAAGAGGTGGCCAGGAGGGCGCAGGAACAGGAACTTCGAAGAAAACGAGAAAAAGAATTAGAAGCTGCTAAAGGGTTTAACCCTCATCCCAGCCGCTTCATGGACTTGGATGAACTGCAAAATCAGGGTAATTGTGAGAATTAGGTTGTGGGTAAAAAGGAATGGAGAAGAAAGGTAGGAAGAAAGCACGAAAGTTGTAAGTTTACTCTTTTCAGCATATTTTTTTCTTAATTCAGCCATTCTGAAGATACCTAGTTAAAGTTGGAGGTGATGAACCTGTTGTAGAGATAGGCACTGATTTGGGTCATGCCTATTTAAATCCTGTAGATTAGAGATAGAATATGATTCAGGAAATTTTTTTTATGAACATCTAAGGAAAGTGTAAATAAAAATAATTTCAAGACAGTGAAGGGCTGGGGAGATGGCTCAGTGGAATAAGCACTTCCCTGGCAAGCACAAGGGCCTGAGTTCAATCCTTGGTTCTGTTAAAAAAAAAAAAAAAAAGACAATGAAAAAGGACAATGAGACATACTGACAGAGGATTTCTACTTAATAGGTAGAAAACTTACCCTGAAATATCTTACCAGAAGCTTTCAGGAAGGGATCTGCTGAATAGGAGCCAAGAACGCAATATCTAATTTATGTTTCTTTCCTCTCTAAAGTGGATCAAACCCAGAAGCTAGTATTGGGCAAGCCCTCTACCACTGAGCTTCTCTTCCCCCTGCCGATTTACTTTTGATCCTACAACAGTTTATTGCCCAGTCTCATGAGATTTGCATGGATGTAAGCTCCACCAATCACCTTAATCACTCTTTGCTCCCTAGAACTTTGTGCCAAAAAGTCTTCACAATATGAATTCAGTAAGGCTGAGGTATCTACCTTTACAAGGTTGTGAAACATATTATTCAGAATTCTCAGATATAATGAATTCTGCTGAAGCAGTGAAAAGAGCCAGTGCTGTTTCAGTGGTTTCTTTCCCTTGACCATTTCTTTTTATCAATACTTTGAGAAGCTACCAAGGCTAAATAGTCCTATTTGGGGACAACTTTTCTCTAATCCTACTGTCTTTCAATTCAAAACAATTATGATTTTTCCAAAGCATTTCATTTGTTTCAAAATTAGTTTTGAATTTCAAATTTCTTAGCTATATCTATGTTTATATAGTCTCTTTCTTCCCCTTTCAACATCAAACTATGTCACTTTGATGTCTCAGGTTATATTATCTCAAAGAAGGATCTTGCCACCTCCCTATCTGCTCCATAAGCTGAGCAGGAATTCCACTATGTTTTATTGTCATTTCTCCATATGATTTCGTTCAGCATCTGGGAGTGCTAAGACATGGGACAATACAGTTTAAATCTAAATTTGGCATGGTGCTGCACTACTGTAATTCCTGTACTAAGGGAGGCTGAGGCAAGACGACTGCAAGTTTGTTTCCCAACTCAGTGAGATCCAACAAAATCATTTTCATTGTAATCAAAATGAAAAGTGCTGGCCCTTTCAGGGAGGAGTGACGGCTTTGAGAGGTCCCTGCAAGAGGCAAACTCAGTGTTTGAAGAGTCGCTGCATCTGGAACAAAAGGGAGACTGTGCTGCAGCTTTGGCTCTCTGTAACGAAGCTATCTGTAAGTAACTCTAACCGCTATGGCTATGGCAGTTTTTACTAACTTCACAATAGATACTAGTGTTGTCACTCAGATGGCTATAAAAAAGTTTTATGTCTCTACACTCTTATGTTCCTGAACTTGGGCCCGAAATGTACCAGGCATTGTCACTTGACCTTGTGGGTATTTACTGGAATAAACTCAGCAGGAATCCATGGATGAATTCTCCAGCCATTCCTGCCTTCTTCTTCTAAGATAAAGTCACACCTCAGATATGAGCTTAGTTTACTCTTTCTTTAGCCACTAACTAGTGAGTGGGAATTTATGGTAGGAAAACTGAATAAATTGGCTGTGACATCCCAGGCTTGTGACTTTGCACCACAATATTCGATTCTTTTTGTTTCTTCCCTGCTTTCCTGGTATGCAGCACCATAATATTACAGCAAGGGACTAAGGCTTAGAATTGGTATCTGACTCTTAAATGTGACTCACAAGAAGCTGTGCTCTGTAAGGACAGATGCAGGTTTGGATCTTATTTCTGCTGTTGTCCATCAGGAAGGGGGAGTTGGGAGCAGAGTGTGGAGACCAGAGCTGAACAGGTCAGTTGGGAAGGATGACAAGAGTGGCAACCTCTAAGCACTAGTTTACCTACCTGGTTTGTTTTATTTTTTATTTATTTATTTTTTTAGTTTAAATTTACTTGTTTGGCCTCCATGGCTTCCATGAATGCTATAGCCAGAGCTAGCCCTGTGCCCTGGACAGCATATGCATGGTCCATGGCTTGCATTCCTGCTGCATATTTTGAGTTGGATTGCGTATCTTTGCTTGTTTTGGTTCAATTTTGTTCTTTTTATTTTTGTTTTGTATTTTGTGTTCTGTTCCTGCTATATTTTCTTTTGCATTTTAGCTAAACTAAGACTTGCCCTGCATGGTGCCAGCTCTAGCACGCACAGCAGAGCCCTAGTCGATAAGAAGTTGCAAATCAGTATTCGAAAAGCACGGAGCCTACAAGATCGCATGCAGCAGCAGCAATCATCGCAGCAGCCGTCGCAGCCCTCAGCCTGCCTCCCATCACAAGGGGGGGCCCTCCCTCAGCCAACAAGGTAGTGCTTGGGAACCATGCTAGTTTATGGACCCGAGGGGAGGAAGTGACCATGGGTTTTCCATGGGCGGCAAGGGCCCTCATTGCCTTCGTGAGTATAGGGAAGACAGCAGTGCGCTGAAAAGATTTTCTTCTTTCATGTCAGACATACAGTGAAAAAGCTCAGTGTATTGGTGGTCCTTTCTTTAATAGTTGCTAGATAGATGCAAACAGTATAGAATAACAAATGACCACTTGTCCAAATTTCCTTGGTGAATTTATCTCTGTACATGTATAACAATGATTCCTATAATGGTACATATTACGTTCTTAGACATGGCAATATTGGCTACATTTCATATTGTAGTAGCAACCAAGTGCTTTATTTTGGGATTTTAGTGCTTCCTTCCCTTCCTTATGGAGAGAGAAAAGGCAATCTTCTTGCTCCAATTGCACCAGAGAAGAGACAAAAAGATTTGCTTTGCTTTGTTAAGGTCATGGCTTGGAAAAAGTAGCCATTGAGGGCCAGCCAGATAGCTCAGCAGACTAAAGCACATGCTTAGGCAGAGCACACCAGGGTTCAATCCCCATGCTGGTCCCACCCCCGGGATGTGCTGAGACGGTGATTGAGACTGGACGTGGTGGTGCGTACCTATAATCCCAGCTCTTGGGAGACTGAAAACAGGAGAATCACTATGAGTCTGATCCACATAGTGAGACCCTGTGGACCCTGTACTAAATACATTAAAAAAAAAAAAAAGCTATTGGTATAGTTTTCCTATGTCTTAACCCTTGAGTGTGGCTTTTACTTAAAATAAATAAATCTAAGCGGAAATTAATTTTGGCTGTTAAGGTTGAGTAGTTTTCAAAATATAAACAATATAAGTATTATTTATATTATAAACAATGTGCAAAACAAGCATGCTACTGTTGGGCTACATCTGTCTTGCAGCTAAAATTTTTTCAATATTTGCCTAGGGCTTGCAAGATAGCTTAGTGGACCAAATGCCTGCTTAGGCAAGTGCAGGGACCGGGGTTCCATCTCTGTCCCTGGCCAGCCCTGCTGAGCCACCCACTGAGATGGCATGGTGGTGCATGCCTATAATCCCAGAGCTGGGGAGGTTGAAAACTATGAGTCTGAGCTGTGTTGTGACTCTGTACCAAATACATTAAGTGTGTGTGTGTGTGTGTGTGTGTGTGCCCGTGTATGTGTAAAACCTGGTACCTTCCTTCTTTTTTTTTTTTTTTTCAGTGATAAAGATTGAACCCAGAGCCATGTATGTGCTAGGCAAGCAGGCTACTATTGGGCTACATCTGTCTTGCAGCTAAAATTTTTCAACATTTGCCTAGGACCATGCCAGAGTTAAGCACTTTCTATACAGATTTTTTTGTTTTGGTTTTTCTGTATTTAGGGCAGGGTCTACAGGGTCTCCCTATGGTAGATTGGTAGATCGGACTCATAGTGATTCTCCTGTTTACAGCCTTCCAAGTGCTGGGATTACAGGCGCGCCACAGCACCTAGTCTCAATTGCTCTCTCAGTGTGCCCCGGGGGTGGGGGTGGCACGGCACACTGGGGATCTAACCTCAGACCTGGCCACTGTGTTCTGCTGACAAGGCAGGCACTTTAGTCCTCTGAGCTATGAGCCCTTGACAGATGTTTTTAAAAGGACTAATATTCACCATGAACAACAGAACTTGGGCTCAGAGAATGTAAGTAAGGGACCTGAGATTTCTTAACTAAAAAGTAGTAGAAGTATAGAATTCAAACGCAGGTCTGCTTGATGTCAAAGCACATGTCTTTGTTCATTATGTAACACAGTCTTTTGGTATTAGATTTCCCAAATAAATATATTCTTCCTAATGTTATCTTGGTTACTAACAAAGCCTACAAAATTTATAGCACACAGGTTGACTATTTCTTCTCTAAAAGAACTTGGAACTCTTTTGTTGTTGTTTGAGAAAGGGCCTTACTATGTAGTTCAAGAATGGCCCTGAACTTGCTGAGATCATCCTGCCTCAGTCTCTCAAGTGTTAGGATTACAGGCATGGGTGACCATGCCTAACTACTCCAAAAAAAATCTGAGTTTTGAAAAACTCCAAAATTATTTCATCATTTTTTTTTTTTTTAATGTATTTAGTACAGGGTCTCACTACACAGAACAAACTCGTAGTAATCCTCCTGTTTTCAGCCTCCCAAGCATTGGAATTACAAGCCTGCACCACCATGCCCAGTCTCTTCCACAGTCTCAGCGTGCCCCAGGGATGGGGCCAGCACTGCATGCTGGGGATTGAACCCAGGTCCCTGCACCTGCCTAACCAGGCACTTTGGTCCGCTGAGCTGTCTGGCCAGCCCTTATTTCATCATTTCTGCACTCAAAAAGTTTTAGATTTTGGAACACTTAAAATTGTATATTTTAGGGGCCGGGGAGATGGCTCAGTGAAATAAGTGCTTGCCTGGCAAGCTCAAGGGCCTGAGTTCAATCCCCGGTTCTACCAAAAAAAAAAAAAAAAAAAATTGTGTATTTTATTAGGGAACTAAGTTTCAGCAGTTTTAGAAAGAAAATTCTAATTTTCAGATTAGATATGTGCAGGTTGGGCTGGGAATATATCTCAGTGGCACAAGTGCCTGCCTGGCAAACCCAAGGTCCTGAATTCGATTCCCATTATCTACCCCCCAAAAAGCACCTATCCATAGATATGCAGTTTGGGCAACCCTAATTTGAAAATCCACAGTTTGAAAGGATGAGGTTTTCTTTTTTTTTTTTTTTT